TTATGAGTCTAGAAGCCAACCTAAGATATTCTGTCAGATTTCACTGGCAGTACCCGTAAATTTGGGTGAATTCCTCTATTGCCAAGATCTCTAAAATATCCTGCATGTCCTTGAGTTGCTGGAAGATAACCTTCCTTCCCATGTGTAAGACTGGGCCCTGTAAGAGAAGATGCCAGGTATTTTTCCTGTGAGGGTTTCGCAAGTATTCCATAAATTCAACCATAGTTCCTTAACAGTGCTTGTTAAACTTGATCATGTGTGTGTAATTCTCAGATACAACATTTCAGGTACGCTCCCTTGGTGGTACAACCATTTTTTACAATTATACTCTGGTAAAAAGAAGGAATTATTATTAAGCTTTTTCAGATAACTGTATTGTTTTGAAAAGTAAGACTCCTTAATAAGATTTTCTCATTTATGGGTTAGAGAGTTACCAAGAATAAAATATGATTTAGGAACGTGGTATAAGAGCAAAGACACTTTTAAGAGTTATAGATAGCTTAAGAAGCAATAGGATTGGTTTTCCTCTGTCTGGAATTATGTATTAAGACAATATTTTAAGCAAATAGCTACATCATTCTTCATTGTCTCATATATTAGTTCTCATTCCACTGAACCTTAGGTTTGTGGTCTGCTACTTGGCTAAAATGAGTTCTGGAAATTGTGACTCAGTCTGCTGGAATGGTCTGGAAGTTGCCCAGTTGTCCAAGTGCCGCAATTGGAAACCTGTACCCAAGAGTCTATTCTTTGACGTGTCAATAGTTTTAAAACCCTGCTGCAGTCCTGGGACAGTCCTCCTTTGTTGAAGACATGGACTATCGTTTCTTGTTCAGATAAGCATCAGTGTAAAACAAACTCTGTAAAGATGATAGAGACTTAAAATAGCTCTGGTGAGTTTATTACTGATAATTTTCAAATGTGAAAGTTCTGATAAAAGTTCATACTAAGAATAATGCAACTCACAAAGGAATTATGCTGTTTCTGTGTCAAGTGAACTATGAATAATAAAGCCAATCTAAAAAGATTTACCAAAGTATCCCTAAGAATAATTCTTTTCAAAGAAGACAGTGACTGCCACATTTGATTTATAAAACATGGTTGAACATAATTTTTACAGAGGAAAAATATCTTGCTATGTAAGATTTAATAATGTGGTACGACACACATACTGAGAACATACCACTAATATAGTGAAGATACCAAGTAGAGATTCAGTTAGTCAGGAGGAGTACGTGCTAGACGTCTGTGTTGTAAAATTCCACTGACCAAAATGATGCTAAATTCGTATATTAAAACTAAGGTTACTACCAAATAAATATTTTAGATAATAACTTAAATCACCAAACTGTTGTTTTCTAAAATCTTGCAAAATACTATCAGGACTCATAAACAGGAACATACTATAGAAAATGAGGGCATTGACAAGTCTCCAGGAACTTTCCATTAATTAATCATAATTTCTAGAACATTAATAGCATCTTCTTTATTCAAATTTAACTTAGGTAAAGGTAAGCATCTCTCTCTCTCTCTCTCTCTCTTTTTTTTTTTTTTTTTTTTTGACAGGTAGAATTAGACCATGAGAGAGAGAGAGACAGAGAGAAAGGTCTTCCTTCCGTTGGTTCACCCCCCAAATGGCTGCCATGGCCGGCGCGCAGCACTGATCTGAAGGCAGGAGCCAGGTGCTTCTCCTGGTCTCCCATGCGGGTGCAGGGCCCAAGCACTTGTGCCATCCTCCACTGCCTTACCGGGCCACAGCAGAGAGCTGGACTGGAAGAGGAGCAACTGGGACAGAACCGGTGCCCCAACCGGGACTAGAACCCCGGGTGCCGGCACCGCAGGCGGAGGATTAGCCTAGTGAGCCGAGGCGCCAGCCAAGCATCTCTTTTTTTTTTTTTTTTTTTTTGACAGGCAGAGTGGACAGTGAGAGAGAGAGACAGAGAGAAAGGTCTTCCTTTTGCCGTTGGTTCACCCTCCAATGGCCGCCGCGGCCAGCGCGCTGCGGCCGGCGCACCGCGCTGATCCGATGGCAGGAGCCAGGAGCCAGGTGCTTTTCCTGGTCTCCCATGGGGTGCAGGGCCCAAGCACCGGGGCCATCCTCCACTGCACTCCCTGGCCACAGCAGAGGGCTGGCCTGGAAGAGGGGCAACCGGGACAGAATCCGGCGCCCCGACCGGGACTAGAACCTGGTGTGCCGGCGCCGCTAGGCAGAGGATTAGCCTAGTGAGCCGCGGCGCCGGCCCCAAGCATCTCTTTTGATTAGACGACTTTCCCCATGAAACTCATTAAAACATCAAATAAATGTATTATTTCTAGTACCTCTCTAAAAAACTGGAAGATTACATCTTTGATTTTTTTCTGGGATGTTCTGGGATATCAGAGGTGGTATTAGATAATAATATACTGAAGGGACCGGTGCTGTAACGCAGTGGGTTAACGCCCTGGCCTGAAGCGCTGGCATCCCATGTGGGCGCCGGTTCGAGTCCCGGCTGCTCCTCTTCCGTTCCGGCTCTCTGCTGTGGCCTGGGATAGCAGTGGAAGATGGCCCAAGTCCTTGGGCCCCTACACTCATGTGGGAGACCCGGAGGAAGCTCCTGGCTTCAGATCTTGGCGCAGCTCTGGCCGTTGAGGCCATCTGGGGAGTGAACCAGTGGATGGAAGACCTCTCTCTCTCTCTCTGCCTCTCCTTCTCTCTGTGTGTGTAACTCTGACTTTCAAGAAAAATAAATAAAAAATCTTTATAAAAATATACTGCAAATTTTATTGTTTTCTATATTTGGATTCTGATTTGGGGAAAGTAAAACTTAAGAGTTATGATTAGAAACACTTAGTATTATTGGTACTTGAGAATCAACAGGGCCTGATTACTTAATTTAACCAAAGTAACAATGGAAAATTTTAAAATAGCTTGTTTCATGAATCTACATTGAATGTGTGTGTTGAAATGTTGCAGTATGTCCCATGAAAGTGTGCAAATGTTACATGTTAATTAAAAACTAAAAGAAACAATAAAAAAGTAGCACAGTTTTTAATGATAATACCTTTTTCATGAAAAACCTGTGTTTTTGATTTCCTAAATAATAAAGAACATGATAGATAAGCACACAAATTTTTTCTGATAAGACATAAAATATTACTACATTGGCATATTATATTGTAAAGGAAAGAATAGCCTTTGATTTTGCAGAAGATTGGTACATCACCAGTGAGTAAACTTTGATAAAATTTTAACCAGTTCATAGCTTTTCAGATTCAGATATTATTTTAATTTATTTATAATTTTTATTTTTTATTTTATTTATAGGTAGAATTGTGGGGGAGGGGGTGGAATCTTCCATCCACTGGTTTACTCCACAAATGGCCATAATGTCCAGGGCTGGGCCAGGCCAAAGTCAGGAGCTAAAAGTGTCCTCTGGGTCTCCCACATGGGTGCAGGGGCCCAAGGACTTGGACCATCTTCCTTTGCTTTCCCAGGTGCATTAATGGGGAGCTGTATGGGAAGTGGAGCAGCAGGGGCTTGAACCAGTGTCCATGTGGGATGCTGGCACTGTGGCAGCTTTACCTGCTGTTCCACAGCACCAGTCAGAATTCATAAGTTTTGTTTTTTTTTTTTTTTTTTTTTTTTTTTTGACAGGCAGAGTGGACAGTGAGAGAGAGACAGAGAGAAAGGTCTTCCTTTGCCGTTGGTTCACCCTCCAATGGCCGCCGCAGCCAGCGCGCTGCGACCGGCGCACCGCGCTGATGCAAAGACAGGAGCCAGGTGCTTCTCCTGGTCTCCCATGGGGTGCAGGGCCCAAGCACTTGGGCCATCCTCCACTGCACTCCCGGGCCACAGCAGAGAGCTGGCCTGGAAGAGGGGCAACTGGGACAGAATCCGGCGCCCCTACAGGGACTAGAACCCGGTGTGCCGGCGCCGCAAGGCGGAGGATTAGCCTAGTGAGCCGCGGCTCCGGCCTCAGAATTCGTAAGTTTAAAGTTGCATGCCACTCTTGAGTAGTATGATAAGATCTCATTCCCTCCCTCCTGGGGCGTGAATGGCCACTGTTCCCCCAATATGTGGGTCTCCTTTTATGGAGTGATGTCTTTCAAAGAGCAGCAGGTCTAAGGTAAGTCTGTTCAGTTCATTGTTGGTAGTTCCCTGCCACTCCCATAGCCTCCAATTTAAAGCAAACCAATTTATTTGTAGATTTTCTCTTGTTTCTCTTCTAATCTTCTCTTCTAATCTTCACTTTTTTTTTCTGTCTCTATCATGATCACAACTTGTCCTCATTTTTAGTGATCTATTTGATTTTATTTTTTGCTTTGTTTTTAAATTTTTATTTTTCATAGGATTTAGAAATAAGATGGTTGTATTCAGAGCACCAAATTTGAATACATTTTCATAAAAAATATAAAGTGTAAAAATTTGATAATTTTAATGCTTTAAAATGTTTTTATATAATTTTATTTGAAAGGCAGAGCAACAGAGTTATGTAAACAGAGAGAGAACTTTGATAGGCTGGTTCACTCCCCAAATGCCACAAAAGCCTAGGGTTGGGCCAGATTGAAGCTAACAGCCAGGAACTCAGTCTAGGTCTGCTTTCTGTAAGTCACAGAATGGGTTTTCAGAGTTCCCTTTGCAGTGCAGAATGCCTGACCTTGTGACAGAGGTAGCCTCATTTCTTCAATGAATTTATTTTTGTGTTTGTGTGATTGTGCAGGATTTGTGAAATGAGAAGCCCATAGCAGAGGCTTCTGTCCTATCTTTCTTGACTCTTAGAGTGGTAATACAGTCAGTAAATATGGGATAAAGTAATAAGGAAACGGGGATGCTTCATTTTCCACAGTGTTTCCCAGTTGCAGGGAAACCTTGAGGAAAGGCTGCTTTCCTATTTAGCCAGTGGTATGGTCTTAACTTCTCTGTGTCTTTCCTTTTTTTATTAAAAAAAAAAAAAACTATTTATTTATTTGAATGAGTTAAAGAGAGGCAGAGAGAGAGAGAGAGAGAGAGAGAGAGAGTGAGTGTCTTCCATTCACTGGTTCACTCTCCAAATGTCTGCAATGGCTGGAGCCAGGCCAATCCAAAGCCAGGAGCCAAGAGCTTCTTCTGGGTCTCCCACGTGGGTGCAGTGGCCCAAGGACTTGGGCTATCTTCCACTGCTTTCCCAGGCCATTGCAGATAGCTGGATCGGAAGTGGAGCAGCTGGGACTCGAACCGGCATCCATATGAGATGCTGGCACTGCAGGTGGTGGCTTTACCTGCTACACCACAGCACCGTTGGGCTATCTTCTTATGCTTTTCCAGGCCATTAGCAGGAAGCTGGATCAGAAGAGGAGCAGCCAGGACACAAACCAGTGCCCACATGGGATTCTGACACTGCAGGCTGTGGCTTTAATCCCACTATGCACAGTGCCGACCCCTTCCCATTTTCTGAAATATTGATTCTAACTTCCTCAACTGATTTCATGACTTAAAGAGCCAAGACCCACAGGTGAAAAAGCAGTGGTTGAGTGTGATTCAGTTCTAACGTTGCTCTGGAAAACTGGTTTGACACACTTTGTTGTCTAGACGAATGAGAGGAGCCCTTCAGAACTGATGGAGACTCTGAAGCAGCAGACTTAGGTTTTTGCTCGCTTGTTGGCTTCCTTAGCTGCCAGTGTTTAGCCCTGCAGTTTACTTCATCACTTGGCTTTCTTCAGGCCATGCTGTTCTCAGCTGGTTTCCTTTTGTTCAGACTTAGCTCGTCCTTTGGACTGGGAGATAGCTCCTAGAAGGAAAGATCTAGAATAATGAAGCTCACACTTCTTATGTTTTCTGTGTGCTAGGCACTTTCCTGTTTTACATATATTACTCCTCATGACACCCTATATGCCAGATTCCTAAACTACTTTGATTTTATAGGTGGGGAAACCAAAGCCTGTGGAAGTTCAGTAGCTTACCCTTCACTAGAGTTCTTCTGCAGCTTACCTTGAAGTGTTGGGCAGTGTTCCCCATAGAAATGATTTCAGTAATGGATATTGTATGAAATTAAACTAGTTTCTGATCCTACTTTCTTAACTCCCCTTATGACTTTTCTCACCACAAGGTTATTCAAGTTTAGAGATTAATATTGTCCTTAATTATTAGAGATTCATGGAAATTGAATAAAAGTACTAAATTTTGCTTGGAGTGCAGAGTTTGGTTAAATTGGTCAGAGTCAGAATTGAATAATGACTGTGCTGTGAGCCCTAATAGTAAAGCCCTGTCATCCTCCCCCAGGCCTGAGTTTGAGAATGAATAATGTTGCAGAAATGCCCACTTATTCTTAGTTCATTAATTTACCAATCTGGGATCCTTAATATGCCTTCTTCCAGTCCCTGCCCACCACAACAGCTGTTGCAGCCTGGCTCAGGCCTCCTGGACTAATAGTATTTCTGACACAGTGTGTGTTTTCAAGTTGGTATGTGTGATTTCTGCCAGTCTCCACAGCTGCCAAGCCTCAGGGTTGGAGGTTGCAAGTGATTTGAGGGGGAGGGAGTTTGGTGCTTGTCACTGACAACAGAACAAGGTGCTCTCTGCTACTCTGATTTGTAGCAGGCTGAGTGTGAATGATGTCAGGCAGATCAGAGGACAGCTGATTCATTTGGGATCTGGAACTCTTCACTCTGCCTCGCTGCTGCCTCCTGGGCTGTTAGGTTTTTAGGAAGGTTTCTGAGTATCATGTTTTTAAAGAAAAGTACTTTAATTTTTCATATAAGTTTGGGAAGCCTTTGTAAGTTTCTTTTGGCTGACATAATACCTACTTCTTTTGTGAGAGAACTTCCTGCCAAGACTCCGGTGTGAGAGGGCAAGACTTTGAGTAGTCAGGAGAATGATGAAACGGAGGAGAGAGAGACTGGGAGCACCATGCCTGCGGATTCAGTAAGGAGGATGGGGTCTCTGACTGGAAATTGACAGATGCCAGGAAAAGAACTAATGCCAACTAACACAGCTTCATGTGCTTGGATGAAGACTCTGTCTTGGAGGTGCCTGTCAGGAAGAGGGTTGAGCTGGCTGTAATAATTCAAGGTCAAAACAGTGGTTCCTGGCAGGAGCATATGGAGTTTCCAGTTCTGGAAACTGAGTTGGATGTAATTTTAGGGGTTCCTAGGTTACTTGGGGAACTGGGCCAATAATGAAGGTAGTCTTTTCCTTGGCTTTGAAAGCAAATGTGTATTTAAACCTCATATTAAAACTTCTAATACAAGCACCATGAATGTGAGAAACAAAAGAAAATGAGAAATATCTTTTGGATAGAGAGGACATTGCCCTTGGCCTGTCAGACCTCTACTTTTGGGTGACTTTTCCAATAGCTGTTCAGCCTTGTTTGAGGAAATGCTGGATGAATTGACCAGTGCTCTTCAGAGAAAGAAGAGCCCTGGAATCCTCAGCTTGGAGAAAGTGTACTTCAGGATTATGTCCCTGAGCATTAGTGCTTAGTGGAGACAGTGTGGTTCAGACACACACATTCTTCACTGAGTGTCCTTCAGTGTCTGCAGGTGCTCAGTGATTGAATTCATGATTATATTGGACCTTGGAAAATAGGGCTTGTTTGGAGGATTGTATTTAAAAAACTCTTTACCTCATGCTGAGACTATAAAGGAAAAATTTTAAAAAGCTTTATCGAATAAAGTATCATTTAAATATAATATAAAAAATAAAATGACTTGTTAGCAAAATTGATGATTTTAAAACAGAGTTTGTATTTTGAGAATATTTAAGCGGTCAAAAAATCATGCTCTTCAAATAGTGGTGGACTGATATTGGTAGATAAATCATTATATCTGTTTTGGTGACTTTGAATTTTGAAAATACCCCTGGGAAACTAGCAAGTAGTTTATAAATCACCTTTGCTATTTCGTACAATCCTTTTTTAGACTCTAACCCCATTCTATAACTAGCTGGCAGAGTGATAATTAGGAGCAAAAGAAAATGAGATTTGGTTTTCATAGATTTTTATAATTCCAATTAATATTTGTCAAAATGACTAAACTTCATATTATGTGATAAGATTTAAGACTCTAAAATTTTATATAAGCAATATTATTCCGGCATATTCAGTATCTTATTGTACATCATAATTAGCTTTAACAATATATGGGGAAACTTACTTTTTGAAGTAGTTCTTTAGAAGAAAAGTTCTTTCTGAAAATGAGACAATCCAAAATTAATATTTTTATTTCCTGTAATTGTAAAAAATATGTTGAGTTTGTGGAAATTTGGGCATGCTTTTAATTTTGAAAAGCTGATTGCCTTCCCCTTTCATGTCTTACGTTATTCCCATATTGTGTACTCTTATAAGAAATAAGCCAAAGCCTTCTAACAAGCATAATGAGTCAGAAGTTGAAGATTTTCCTTTGACTAGTTAAGACAAGTACTCTGTCACCATATCTATGTTCTAAAGAGTCAATAATAGTAATATAGAAAAGTAACATCATTTTGAAATAGATCAGGTGCTTATGTGATACTTAAGTCCTTTTAGGTTTTCCACCTTAGAAATAAAATAGTTATATAGAAAAGCCAGGCCAATATGACAGCAAATAAGGACTGTGAGACTGGCAGTTACTTTTCATTATCTATGCCACATCTACCAATGACAGTAAATTAGAAATATATGTCATCTATCTATTTTCAATGTAATGCTTTTAATTATTTAATAGTTTTCAGTAGAACTTAACTTATCAAATTGACAAGGTTTTTTTAGTGCAAAGACCTGCAAATTGAAAATTTAAGTAAAAGCAAAAGTTATAGAGTGGCATTGTTTGATATACTCATTAGAGAAAACTTAGCTAAAGATGTTGTTATTACTGTATATATAATTGATAATGTATAGAGTATTGAGAATGTTTACTTTTATGGACTAAATATGTATTTCTTTAAGAGGATTTAGTCACTGAACATGAAATATTACCTGTTGCTTACTAATTGATGTGCTGCAGTAAATTTGAAGTTTTTGCTTTGCTTACAAGCCAATTTAAAATAATTTGAATAGCTGGAACTTACATTTTTAATTTTAAATCTATGACTAAGTTTTAGTGTCTACTGTCATTCAGCTTTGGTACTCAAGAGCTCATTGGAGAAGGACTTTTGAGCACTTACTGTTCTTGAGCCTGTTGCCTAGACTAACCCACTTTGGAATATGTCTCATTTGGGTTGAGAAAAAAAATCACTGACTCTGTTTTTTTCCTACTGTGGTACCTTGTCAGAATCTCTACTCTTTGCCGAGGAGCCGAAGTAAACCATCACATATTTTCTTCCACATCAACTCCAGCCCTCTGTCTCCCTAAAGTCCCATTTAGTGCCGACTGTGTGCTGGCTACTTCTCCTCTTGTCTTTTTCCTGAACCCACAAGCCCACAGCAGTCCTGGCAGTCCCTGTTCCAGCCACCCACTACAGTGGAGGTAAGAAACCTGCTGTGCTGTGAATGGGGCCTTAACAATTGCATCTAGTCCAATAGGTAAAACCCACACCTCACCCTCAATAATGGGGAGAAACTGAGTGAGAGCCATGACTCTATTACAGAGAAGAGTAAAAGGAATTCCCAGACCTCTGCTACGTTCAAATTTTAAAACAAAGTCACATAGTATATCTTGACCATGGACATCTCTGTGAACTGTGCCTGTGACCACTCCATAGCATGATCGAATGCTAGAGTTTTAAAAGTTAAAAAGTCCAAATTTCACATTTAACACTTCAGGAAAATAGGAAAATCTGAGTCTAAAATAGGTTAAATGATTTATTCAAGTTGATGAAAGCTGTCCTTCTTCCTTTTCTTTCTGCTTTCATTTTCATATATTCAACATTATTTGAGTATATATACTATGTGCTAGGCACTGTTTTAGGTATGGACGACAAAGCAGTGACCACAAAGCAGTAAAGTCTCTTTCTTCAGGAGCTTAGATTCTAGTGGAAGGAGGCAGACAAGTAAGTTCATGAGTACATATATAATAAAACATATGACTATGAAGTGCTACTGAGAAAAATGTAGTAGGATAAGGGGAGAAGGCAATGTGGAAGCCAGGATTGACATTTTATATCAGGTGACTGGTGGAGGTCCTCATTGGAATTTGACTTGTGAGAAAAGACCTGATATGAGACACAGTCAGAATGGAGATATCTGAAGAAGAATGTTCTAGGCAGAGACAGCAGTAAGTGCCAGGACAACTAATTTGGAGCTTATTTAATATGTTGTGTGGCACAGAGTCCACTGAAGCTAGTGCAGAATAAGTTAGGTATTGAGAAGTGTGGTCTAAGTTGTAGTGGAGAGCCAGATTAAGTAGAATTTTTTTTTTTTTTTAAGATTTATTTGTTTATTTGAAAGTCAGAGTTACAGAGAGAGAGAAGGCAAGAGAAGGAAAGACAGAGGTCTTCCATCCACTGATTCACTCCCCAATTGGCAGCTGTGCTGAACCGAAGCCAGGAGCCAGGAACTTCTTCTGGGTCTCCCGTATGGGTGCAGGGCCCCAAGCACTTGGCCCAGCCTCTATTGCTTTCCCAGGCCATAGGAGAGAGCTGGATTGGAAGAAGAGCAGCCGGGACTTGAAGCAGCACCCATATGGGATGCCGGCACTGTAGGTGACGGCTTTACCCATTATGCCACAGTGTCAGCCCCTTAAGTAGAACTTCTAAGAACCTTGTTTCTTTTTTGTTTGATATTTATTTTATTTATTTGAAAGAGTTAGACAGAAAGAGGAAGAGATAGAGAATCTTCCATCTGCTGGTTCACTCCCCAAATGGCTGCAATAGCCAGGGCTGGACCAGGCTGAAGCCAGAAGCCAGGAACTTTATCCAGTCTCCCATATGGGTGTCAGGGCCCCAAATACTTGGGCTGTCTTCTGCTTTCCCAGGCACATTAGCAGGGAGCTGGATCAGAAGTGGAGCAGCCAGGGCTCAGCCATTGGAGAGTTTAGAGCAGAAGTATGTCACAGTTTGACTTTAGCACAAAAGGATCACTTTGGCTATGTGTAGTTAGAAGACTACTGTGTACTCTAGGTAAGAGACAAGGTTTGTTTAAAACCATGATGGTGCAGATGGGGTCATATTTAGGGATATATATTTCAGAGTAGACTAGAGGGGATTTTCTGATGGATTAGATGTAGGGTTTGAGGAGAAAAAAGAATGACTGAAGAATTTGAGCTAAACTTCTAAAAAATTTAGGTTCCCATGAACGGAGACTGGGAAATCCCTAAAGATAGCTAGTTAGATATTCAGTGAAAAATATGCAAGGTCAGTATCAAAGCTTTATAATTAGAAAATGATAGCACATAATTGATATAAATTGTTACATTTATGAGCTCATTCAATAAATGACTATTGCTAGAGAGGGCAGAGATGTCCAATGACGGAGTCCTAGAGCCATCTATTCTTTAGAGGTTATGAGGAACTAGCAAAGGAGGAATTGAAAAGGAAGAGTTGTTCAGAAGATCTTACACCATTATAAACTTATCTTTTAATTTCATTTTCCATGAATCTTTGAAGAACCCTTGTAGTTCCCTTCTGTCTGATGTCTGAAAACTGTTTCACATACTCACATTTCATCTGATTTTTTTGGTTTTTAGAACACAAGGGTAAATCTGGTCTCTGTTTCCCTGTCATGATGGGGAGTAGAAGTATAGTCTACCTAATAACACTTTGTTATTGTTGTTGTTTAATATTTTATTTATTTATTTGAGAGAGAGAGTTACAGAGAGAGAGATAGAGAGCTCTTCCATCCACTTGTTCACTCCCCAAATGGCCACAGCAGCCGGAGCTGAACTGATCAGAAACCAGGAGCCAGGAGCCAGGAGCTTCTTCCAGGTCTCCCACATGGGTGCAGGGGCCCAAGCAATTGGGCCATCTTCCATTGCTTTCCCAGGCCATAAGCAGAGAGCTGGATTGGAAGAGGAGCAGCTGGGACATGAACCAGCATCCATATGGGATGTTGCCGCTGCAGGCAGAAGCTTAATCTACTATGCCACAGCACCAACTCCCTTCCTAACACTTTGGACACATGTGTATATCTTCAGAAATGGTTATTGCTTCATCAGATTATTGGTGGGCTGTTACACATGTTAGATAAGCTGAGAAGAGGCAGAACAGATTCTTTTTATTATAGCTTGCTAAATCAAGAAAAGTTGATGAAATAACAAAAGAAAAAGAATAGGTAAGGTTCACTGAGGATTCACTGTACAAAGCATTTTTTCTTAATGATTTCTATGAATACATATTGAATATATTTAGTCTTCAAAATTACCTGATGGGATAGAATAATTCAACTCAATCTAATTTTATTAGATTAATTTTATTTGTTTGAAAGGCAGATTTACAGAGAGAGAGGGAGAAAGAAAGAGAAAGAGAGAATCTCCCATCTGCTCGTTCACTCCCCAGCTTGCTACAATGGCTGAGGCTGGGCCAGGCCAAAGCCAGGAACCAGGAACTTCTTCCAGGTCTCTCAAGTGGGTAGCAGGGGTCTACGCACTTGGGCCATCTACTGCTGCTTTCCCAGGTGCATTTGCAGGGAGCTGAATTGGAAATGGAGCAGGCAGCAGCTTTACATGCTATATACAATGCCGGCCCCAAGAAAAACCAATTTATAGATTAAAATACTATGGTTCAGAGAGGTAAAAGAGATTATTAGTAAGCATTAGAAACTGGTGTTCAACTTCAGAGCAGCAAAATCTAATATTTGTACTCTTAACCCATTTGCTGTTATGTTTCTGATGAAACATATACAATTAAGTAGTATATATTTAATAAAGTCTGTGGCATTGTTCCAGGTGCTTCGCATTATGCAGATGATTATATCCTCACATCAATTCTATGAGATAGATGTTATTTTTTCTCTTTTTACGCATGAGTAACTTGGGAGCACAGAGAAACTAAATAAATTTCTCAAGGTAATTCAGTTGATAATTGGCAGAACTAGGATTAAAACCAATACAGTCTGGCTTCAGAGATTAGGATTTTTTTTTTAAGATTTATTTATTTGTTTGAAAATCAAAGTTAATGAGAGAAAGTTTTTCTGTCCGTGGATTCACTCCCCAAATGGCTGCAACAGCTGGGGCTGGACCAGGCTGAAGTCAGGAGCCTAGAACTCTATCCAGGTCTTCCATGTAGGTGCAGGGGTCCAGATACTTGGGCCATCTTCAACTGCCTTCTCAGGTGCATGGATCCGGAAGTGGAGCAGCCAAGACTTGAATCAGCACCCATGTGGGATTCCAGCAGTGGAGGTGGACGCTTAACCCTCTGCACCACAACGCTGGCCCCCAGAGATCAGGTTCTTAACAACTCTGCTGTTTTTCTACTGCATCCAAGATGTAACATATGTAATATAGTGTGTTCTGAACCTAAGTAATTTTTGTAGGCCCAGGTCTTCTGTTTTCCCAAGATGATAGATTTATATCTGAGAGAGAGAGGAGGCAGTTGTCTCTGGCTTTCCACTGGCCCAGCCTTAAGCCTGCTGAGCATAGAAGTTTGGTATTAGTAACTTTGTTGAACACAAAATGACTTAGATGTTTAGTTGGTTTTGAATTGGCATAGACTTTGTTGGCTTTAAAGTGGGAAAGTTTTCAGTAAGAAATCCTTTTTAGAGCCATCTTTATATTAAAAAATTCTGGTTTTAGCCTGCTTTCTGCAGCATACGATTAACTTCTATACAGTGACAAACAAAAAAAAACCCATGAATTCAGCCTATGCTTGAACATCTTTAGCAGCAAGGAGTTTGCTCATTTAGCTTGCCTCAGGCCTCTCCTGTGTCATATGTGTGGGAGTCTTTTTCTAGACTTTTATGGCAAAAGACAGGTGTTCCTTTGGGTTGCATCTAAATTGAGGCAGTTTTTGAAACCTTTTTATGGTTTTGTCAAGATTATTTCATGCCAAAGAGAAAGCACTATGTTCATTTTACTAACACCTGCTTTTCTTGTCTTTTTAAAAAACTTCTGTTCAAAGCAATTCCAAGAGAGAAACATCTTCAGAACTTGTTCTTTTCTCCTATTCCCGCTGCTAACGGATTGTAGGCAAATTCCTTTACTTCTCTACACCTCTGTTTAGCACATTGTTAAAACGGGATGGTGATAGTACTCCAGGAGTTGCAATAAGGATGAAATTAGGCCGGCGCCGCGGCTCACTAGGCTAATCCTCTGCCTTGCGGCGCCGGCACACCGGGTTCTAGTCCCAGTTGGGGCACAGAATTCTGTCCCTGTTGCCCCTCTTCCAGGCCAGCTCTCTGCTGTGGCCAGGGAGTGCAGTGGAGGATGGCCCAAGTATTTGGGCCCTGCACCCCATGGGAGACCAGGATAAGTACCTGGCTCCTGCCATCGGATCAGCGTGGTGCACTGGCTGCGGCGGCCATTGGAGGGTGAACCAACGGCAAAGGAAGACCTTTCTCTCTGTCTCTCTCTCACTGTCCACTCTGCCTGTCAAA